AAGTGGGAAGGGAACCAGCCCCTGGTGGGCTGGTGCGCTCCCCTTGGGCCTTCCCCTGCACCTAGGGTTGGAAACCCTAGGGGTGGGGGCGCCCCACTTGGCTTGGGGGGCAAGTTTCCCCCCTTGGCCGCCGCCCCCCTTGGAGATGGGATCTCCTAGGGCGGCGCCCCCCCTAGGGGGCCTATATATAGTGGGGGGAGGGAGGGCAGCTGCACCCTAGCCCCTGGTGCCTCCCTCTCCCTCCCGTGACACCTCTCCCTCTCGCCGAGCTTGGCGAAGCCCTGCCGAGATCGCCGCTGCTTCCACCACCACGCCGCCGTGCTGCTGGATCTCCATCAACCTCTCCTTCCCCTTGCTGGATCTAGAAGGAGGAGACGTCTTCCCAACCGTACGTGTGTTGAACGCGGAGGTGTCGTCCGTTCGGCGCTAGGATCATCGGTGATTAGGATCACGACGAGTACGACTCCATCAACCCCATTCTATTGAATGCTTCCGCTCGTGATCTATAAGGGTATGTAGATGCACTCCCCTCTCTCTCGTTGCTAGTCTCTCCATAGATAGATCTTGGTGACTCGTAGGAAAATTTTGAATTTCTGCTACGTTCCCCAACATAAGTTTGATCAATGATAATTCTAATCACCTTTTCTAGCATCATTATATATCATAGACATTTGCTCATTTTCATAAAACTTCTCATGATAAAGTAGCAATCAATTCACATTTACAACCTATATTCTTAGTCACCAAACAATTACGATTTATATTGTTTTCTACAAAGTCTAAATAAGAGCTCCGCATATTCAATTATCATATAGTCTTCTATAATTGCTAGTATTCGCATATTTTTAGAGCAAATAGTATAAACCGAACACAGAGGAAGATAGGGGCTTAACTTATCACAGAGATAAGTGTCAACAATAATAATTCATGATCAAATATATTTGAATGGATATATGTGTCTGGCTCTTCCCCAACCACATGATGCTTGCCAAATAGAGAATAGTCGAGGTTGGAATAAGAAGTTGACTCAACAAAAATAAATTTGACAGAAAAAGTAAAATATATGCCCTTCGTAGAGGGAAGCATGGATTTGCTTATGTGCCAGAGCTCACAGCTAAAAACATGGATGAATACATTTTGAGTGGTGTGCTTTTTCTGTCAACGTCACGACAAATGATTTCAATATCTTCCATGCTAAACACATTATCGGCGGTTCTCGTGAGGAAATGAAAAAGTTTACTCCTCTCCCTTAGCGAGCGCATCCCTTCTTGGTGGTAGCCCCTCCTCTCCCCTCTACAGACATGTTTTGGAGCCTCCTTTAGTTCCTCTACTTCTAGTTTTAGTTGATCCTAGTTGATCAATTAGAACTTGACCTAGATCCTTTAATCCACATAAATAGAAGCCCAGTGTGGTTCTAATCTCCTCCCTCTAATTCGCCGGCGGCGATTAGCTCCGGACGGCAAAGCATTGTCGGATCGTGAGGACCGTACACTAGCAACCAAGTAGAGAGGTTGTGCTCCCAGTCTTCCGTTCGAGAGATCGTTCGAGGGCGGTTCACGGGATCGTCATCAACGGTTTGAGGGACTCTTAAGTACGATCTACACTGACTCGTCTACTTCCCCTGCACTCCGGAGTCGGTAACGATCGTTGATCCAAACCCTAGATTCATCTTTCATATTGTTCCTAAGTGTTTGTAGGGTGAAATTTTTGGTTTTCTTCTACGTTTCCCAACAATTATAGTGATAGGCCAAATATAGGGGCAGTGGAGTTTGTGAGCTCAAGCTCACATGATCTCGGATGAACAATAAAATCCAAAAAAGTAAAAAAAACAAAAAAATCTGTTTTTTTTGGCAAGAAACATTGATGTTTTCTCTACACGCATGCAATTTGTCACGACCAAATCTAGTGCACGCCTCCACAAATGTGATTCCGTTGCGCGAACCAACATGTGATTGAAATGGTTAGGTGGACAATGGTATCCCCAACCCATCAGGGTTCAAATCCTGGTGCTTGCATTATTCCTAGATTAATTTTAGGATTTCCAGCGATGTGCTTTCAGTGGGAGGAGACGTTCCCATCGACGACGAGGCGCCTACGGTGGCTTCGTAAATCTCAAGATGATATGCCGGCTCAGTCTCTCAGAGGTGCTCATACGGGTAGGGTGTGCGTGTGTGCGTTCATAGGGGTGAGTGTATGCGCAATGTGATTCTGTTGCCAAAGTTTGCATGCGTGTAGAAAAAAATATCAATGTTTCTTGCCAAGAAAAAATCAGAATTTTTTGAATTCTTTTACTATTTTTTGGATTTTACTTTTCATCTGTGATCATGTGAGCTTGAGCTCACAATAGCACTTCCGCAAATATGGCAACTATTCTAGAGTTATTCTAACTAGACTTCCAAGATATTCTAATTTTCTTTGAATTAAAGCAGTTTCTTAGGTGGTTAGATAATTTCCCGTGTGTTGCAATTGGGGCGTAAATATTCTATTAGGTTGACCTACCCATATTGATGCGATTGCATGGAAAATAGGATTTAATACCTTTTGGTTATTATTTATTGGCTTATCAAAGAAAATATTTTTTTTATTTCTTACGTCAATAAGATATGGTGTAGTTGAGGCGTTTTTTTGATGAAAAAACAGATGTGAGGGGGAAAAAACAAAGCAGAAAGAGGAGGGGAAAGTATGTAATGTTTGACGAAGGGTGAGTTTTTAAATAGTATATACTCCCTCAATCCCAAAATAAGTGACTCAACTTTGTACTAACGTCACTTCTTTCGGGACGGAGGTATAAATGAGAGGTTCCAATTCTGCTAAAATTAACTTGGTCTCTTGCATAATTTGTTTTGTTTTGTACCGGCTATGCAAGAAAATAAATATTCTTGAACAACCATTTTGTTGTAACTCAAGACATTTGCTCCTTGCTGAAGTTTCTGTGATCGGTCAGGTTTAGCAAATATGATCTGTTCAAAAATTAGTACTCACTCGCAAGAGGAAAGCTCATGGCAGATTTAACTCCTCCAAGTCCACTACATCTGTTCGAAGCTGCATTCTAGACGAGACAGTGCATCCGATCCAAGCTCATAAAATTCACCACCAATTACCTCAAACAAATCTATCAAAACAAATGACGCGAGCAGAGAACAAACCCAGATGCATCTTCCTGGGTATATAGGAGCAAGCATACCATCGTACTAAAGACATCAAATTTTGTACTCCCTACAATCCACAACTATAGGAGCGTCAATCAATATGGACTGGAGGGAGGAGAGTGGACAGGCTGCACGCAGCGGCATCTGATCGCAAGTATCCAGCCGGTCGACTTGGCGAGGTGATCCGTGCGCTAAGATTGTTGGAATGAGATAATGAGAGATACATCAGTCCATACTTCCGGATACCCGTGTCCAGGTCGCGCATGTGGGCTCGGCGGGGGTACACACCTGACGCAAAAGGGAACTTTTGCGCAGAGCGTGCAGTGCGGGCCCTTTTCTTTACCTCGCGGGGCCTGGTACTGTCGTACCAAGTTGGAGTTTGTCCTGCATCTCGCACCACTTCTCTTTTCCGATTTGGGGCTGGAGGTTCGTCTGGATCTGTCCATGGCGACTCCCACAGCGACGACACCGGCGTTGGCCTCTGGGTGAGTTAAACTCTCTTAAACTCCGGCCCTATCTTAGTTCTTGATCTATTTCATGGCTTACGAGTTTGCTCCCGGCGGAGTTAGTACTGCAGATCGATGGGGGCGGCAAGCGATTCCGTGGTGCGCGGCGTGCATTCCGTTTCCGGTCCCGCCGTGGCCGACTCTGCAGTAGGCGTAGAGTCGCGGGAGACACTACCGGTGTATGAGGTCCCGCCGGCTCGCGGCCTGGTTGGCGACCTGTCTGATGTCGAGCTATCCGACGGGTCCTGCACGATGGGGGCGGCGCCGGCTGGCGGAGGTGTGGCGTCGGCAGGCGCCGGTGACGGGGCGCGCGCCGTCGACTCGCGCAGCGCAGTTCAGTCATTCAGCCCCAGTGCTCCGGCGGCGGCGAGCACCACTATCCGCGTTGGCTGGAAGCGCAGGTAGCCCCTCCATCTTAGTTGACTGAGACGAGCGCGTTTTTCTTTTTCTTTTTTGAATGGGTGCTTAGAGCTGATTATGAGCATTGCGGTTGCATCTTTTTCTTATGGATGTATTCCCTGATGGCAAATGCAAATTGGTTCCACAAACAATAGGAGTGGGTAATATGAGCAGCTAGGCATTACGTGCATATATATAAGGAGAGCGAGTAATCTCTGCCACACTACCAAAGTAGTTCTCGCTTGATTTATTTTCAGGGGAACCCCATGAATTGCTACAACTAAGTACTATTGCTCTTGCAGGAGTAGGATTCTCTGGACGATTTTTGGTACATGATGATTGTTGGGGCAGGGGGTTTTATGAAAATAAGTTTAAAAGTGCAAAAAGGAATTTAGATGTGGTATATTCACACTTTTTTCAGAGCAGGAGTGTGGTCACAAAAATTGTTTTTCTCCTTTTTATTCTGTTTTTCTGTGGTGGTTTGTTTTCATAATTGAGATGCTGTGCTATCTGACTGCAGGCCAAGGGTAGCCCGGGCACCAGATGAGAGGGCGGCTGTAGTTGGTCGTGTGCCGGCGCTTGAAGCTGCGATCCGAGGATTCGCTAGAGGGACTGATGTGGTTGTCAACCCGTCGATGGCAGAGGCGTATGAATTCTACAATTTGTATTCATGGGAGGTTGGCTTTGGGATTCGTTATGGCAAGAGCAGGCAGAATGTCAACGGGACCAAATGCATGCAGGAGATCGTGTGCGGCTGCGCTGTGAGTCCCTTTTTCTCTTTTTCAGTTTTGTGCTGGGTGCGAATGTGGGATTTTGTTATGTGTAAAGGAACTGAAGTTGTTGTCAAATTTTATGATTTGAAAACAAATGCAGGGTAAACCAGAGAGGGAGAACAGTTCATCGTTGAGGAGCGATTGCGCCGCCATGGTTCGTCTGCACCGGACAGATGATGGGGGGTGGTATGTCTTGGAAAATTGTGCTTCCCACAACCATGAACTGCTTAGGACTTGTGCTGAGAAGCTGCACTGGCCATCACACCGGCACATTGACACATACACCAAAGATCTTTGTGAAACGGCTGCGGGAGAACAATGTGAATCTATGGAAGGTTTACAGTATCTTTGGCAGCCTGTTTGGGCGAATGAAGAATGTACCGTTCACGAAGAGGTGCCTTAGAACTTTCTGCGGGAAGCTTAGTAGAGAACACGGGCCTCCATCCTGCTCCAGTTTTGAAGCTGAATGATGAACAAGAAGCACAAAAACAGCAACAAAAATGGGTTCATGTGATGGATGGTTGTACAAATTAGACTTACTCCTTGGTCCGGGCACTTGTAGAAATGAACGCCGTTACGCCGAGGTTCTGACACAAACCATCTAGTCTTCGTCCCGGTGCACCGGCGGCGGTGATGTCCGGAGACGCGGAGCAGAAAATGAGCTTTCGGACATCTCGGCGCGGCGGCGGCGGTGCATCAGTACAACGCGAGATGCTTGTGCGTATGAGAACGTGCAAACGATCAGTACTGTCCGGCCGGGTGCACAATCCTTAAATACATTCAGGGCGAAAAGTGTTTACGTTATACAGTGTCTCAGTGCAACGGTAGTATTTCGTCCTCTCACCCTGCACACGTACGGCGCTCTGCAGCCGCGTGTCAGATTTCCTGTCAGTGGTACTTCAAATACGCGAAATACGAAACATATCACACGCCAGCGGGCCTCTATACTGCAAGTAGCACATTTGGCTGCTACTAATCGCGACGATGTGCCAGCCGTCTGCAAGTAGCACATTTGGCTGCTACTAATCGCGACGATGTGCCAGCCGTCGATGCGCTGCGTGCAGCGCTGCACTTCTCCTGGAGGGAGTAGCTAATTTTGCACAGATCCAGAAGTTGGGCAGAATTTCTCTCTGCAAGACGAAAGCATAATTTAACAGCGTATGTCACATTCAGGAAGGCAATAGATTCATTATAGCACATATACACACTAACACGCATCATGCCAACATAATAAGACAGCTGTTTTACCGACACGAGAAAGTTTGGTATATTGCGACTACGATTGGTTTGATTGCTCACTGGATCACAGCTAAGTTCACAATGTCAGTCTGGTTCGTGTTCTCAAAGGACAGGCAGGTCTGAACTCAACACCTCATTCAGACACTTTTACACATTACCGCCATATGAATTTTGCAAAGGTTTCCTTGCTTCGATATATTTCATGATGGGAAGGCCCAAACTGATGATGTCAAGAACTGCCAGTGTTCTTATGCCAAAAGGATTTGAAAGGCAACTGCGAAAGCCACGACTCGGCGCGTGGAGATCTACCGGACTGAGAAGCATTTGCGCCAGCAGCAGCATCTTGCCAGAACTTGAGAACATAAAGGCTCTCCTCGTCAGTACACCTCTTCAACAGAACACGCGATGCAAACCCCTTCTCGTTCATCAAATGGCATATGCCCAAAGGATCATTATCTTCAAGGGCAATCATGTAGAGACATCCTTTTTCTGACAGCAGCTCGCGCACAGCAGGAAGAATCCGGTCAATCACTTGGCGCCCATTCAACCCTCCAGCCCAAGATGAAGCAATGCCCTTCATCCCGATTTCTTCCTCTGGTGTTGGCACATAAGGAGGGTTCACAACAACCACATCAACCATACCAGCCAGACGTTTCTCAAGACCTGACACAATATCTGTAGCAATAACATCTGCATGAACACCATGGGCTTCAAGTGTTGCTTGAGTTGTCTCCACGGCATGTTGGTTGATGTCTGTTGCTAGGTACTGGGTCCCAGAGCCTAATTGCCTGAGCATGATGGCTAGAGAAGTGATGACATAACCACTGCCACATCCTACCTCCATGCATAAACTCGGCTGTAGCGTCAGAAGTTGAGCCTTGTCAGAGAGCAGTGCATCAACAAGAGCAAAGGAATCATCACATGGTTCATACACTTCCGGATGGCTTGCAACAAGCTGAATCTGGGCAGTGTTCAATGTCCTTGCTGATGCAGACTGAAAAAAAGAAGCAAGATTAGCATCAAATACTAGCCAACACATTATCTGAAAGAAATACTGGTATGTACTTTAATTTAAAATCTTTTGAAAGAATGTTCAATCATTAGAAGAATGGGGAGAACTCTATGACAGAAAAAGTACAAAATAGATCTTTTGTAGAGGGATGCCTTACTTTAAGGCCTGTTTATCAAGAAATATATTTTATTGCCTTATAAACTGAAGAGACGCCTTGGGATGCTCATGTTTACTCTAACATCCAAAGTTAACATCATGCTCATCCAAAGTTAACAACACATACTTCAAATATCTCCGGGACAATATTTGTTACCCTACAATAAATCCCCACATCCCTCTACTATGGCACAATAAATAAATTTGCTAAAGAAATTTCATTGGCAAGTCCAGATTGATGAGAGGGGAAGCAAACAGGATAAAACATAGGTGAGATACACGACAAAGGAATGAAGTGCACTGAAAACCAAGAAGAGAAACATTTGATGGTTCCAGTACAACTCATTGGCAATGGGGCCAGTATCAGGGCCAGCTAGGGTAAGGGTACATATAAGATAAGTGTGATGTTGGGAAATAAGAGTTCCAACTGGACTGGGTAGGCTATCACAACAAGGCAAACTATCTGAGGTGCTTTTGGGGAGCACTAGAACAAAATCCACCTGCGAATACCACATTTATCTAACAACATCTTGTAGGCATAAGAGCAAAAAAGGCTTGCTGGATTTAGCAAATATTCCTACAGCAAACTACTAGATTCCACAGCATAATACAACACGGTACTAGTACAGTATCACCCAATTTCCTTATTTTCTTAAACAAAGAAGAATCTGAAGATGATTCCCACACACGATAGACTTTAACAGTTGAGAGATTCTGAGACCGCATTCAAGTTCACCAGCTCGATCGTCTGGGTAATGCTCACGCGGGGTTCGATGTCATCGACACCCACCCACCCACCCGCGCCTACCGGATTCATAGTACTCATCGGCTGCCTCCCGCCGGAGATCGAGCAGAGGCCGATCCTAATCCTAGTAAGGAAAATAAAGCAAGGCGGGAGGGTGAGAAGGGCGGGCTGACCTTGCCCCTCTTGGGGAGGGTCCTGAGGTCGCAGCTGGTGGAGAGCTCCGCGAGCTTCCCCTCGACGGCCGACACCGCCGCGCCGTCGCCCGCCGACATGGAGCAACAACCAGACCCGCGACAGACGAGGAAGACACCCCCGCGGCAGGATCAAGACCGCCGGACCCTGCAGCGCGAGCACGAAATCGCGCGATCAGAAACGTATCTGGAAACCTCCAAAGCGCAAAGGGGGGCGGGGGGAACCGAACCTGGCCGGAGGAGCAGCGCTGGAGCCGGAGGGAGCGGCCGGGAGAGGAAGGGGACGGATTTAGAGGCGGCGGGCGGCGGCGGCGGCGGCGGCGATGGGAGGGGGGATGGGGGCGGCCGCCATGGCTGCTGCTGCGGCTGCTGCTGCTTCTGTTCTGGACTTCTAATCTGGTCCAGGGAGGCCTCGTGGGGAACGGAACGGGACGGGTTGGGCTCAGCCTGTTTCCCTCACGGGTCGGACTCTCTTCCTCCTCCCAACTCCCGAGCTGAGTGGAGTCTATCCACTTCGGAAGCGAGCGGAAAAATCTCTCCCCAGTGGTGAAATCCAAAACCCCCACTCCCCCTCGCCGGCCGCCGCCGCATGGCGCTCGTCTCCACCACCACCGTCGCCTCCTCGTCGTCCTACTCCTACCACTACGACCACCCGCTCCGCCCGGTGGCCGCCAGGAGCTGGTGCCGCCCGAGGAGCCGCGGCGGGGGCGGGGGCGGGGGCAGGCTGGCGGTGCTGGCGCGGGCGCGGGGCCAGCTGACGACCACGCCCAAGGAGGAGGCCGCCCCGGCGGCGGCGGGGGCGGGGGAGCGGGGCAGGTACTCGTACGAGGTGGACTCGCTGATCGACCGGCTGAGCAACCTGGCGCCGCGGGGCTCCATCGCGCGGTGCCTCGAGACGGCCAAGCACCGGCTGACGCTGCAGGACTTCGCCGCGGTGTACCGCGAGTTCTCCCGCCGCGGCGACTGGCAGCGCTCCGTGCGCCTCTTCAAGTACATGCAGCGCCAGTCCTGGTGCCGCCCCGACGAGCACATCCACGCCATCGTCATCGGCGTGCTCGGCCGCCAGGGCCCGGCCCTCCTCGACAAGTGCCTCGAGGTCTTCCAGGACCTCCCCGCCGACGCCCGCACCGCGCTCTCCTACACCTCCCTCATCGCCGCCTACGCCCGCAACGCGCTGCACGACGACGCCCGCGCCCTGCTCGACCAGATGAAGGCCCAGGGGGTCGCCCCCACCGCCGCCACCTACAACACCGTGCTCGCCGCCTGCGCCCGCGCCGCCGACCCGCCCGTCCCCTTCGACATGCTCCTCGGCCTCTTCGCCGAGATGCGCCACGACCCTTCCCCGGCCGTGCGCCCCGACCTCACCACCTACAACACGCTCCTCGCCGCTGCCGCCGTGCGCGCCCTCAGCGACCAGTCCGAGATGCTGCTGCGCACCATGCTTGAGGCCGGCATTATTCCGGACACCGCGTCCTACCGCTACATCGTGGATGCCTTTGCCAATGCCGGCGACCTCTCCCGTGTCGCCGAGCTGTTCCGCGAGATGGCGGACACAGGGCACACGCCGGACCCCTCCGCGTATCTCGGGCTCATGGAGGCTCACACCCGGATTGGTGCCACCGCTGAAGCTGTGGCCGTGCTGCGGCAAATGCAGGCTGATGGCTGTGCGCCCACGGCTGCGACATACCGTGTCCTGCTCGATCAGTATGGAAAACAGGGGAGGTTCGATGGCGTGCGTGAGCTCTTCCGTGAGATGAGAACGGCTGTACCTCCAGACACGGCCACCTACAATGTGCTCTTCAATGTATTCGGTGATGGCGGTTTTTTCAAGGAGGTGGTGGAGCTCTTCCATGATATGCTTCGTACGGGGATAGAACCTGACATGGAGACCTGTGAAGGTGTCTTGGCTGCGTGTGGTCAGGGTGGTCTCCATGAGGATGCAAGAGAAGTTCTTGACTATATAACCAAAGAAGGAATGGTGCCTACTGCAAAGGCCTACACTGGCCTAATTGAAGCCCTTGGTCACGCAGCTATGTATGAGGTCAGTCTACGAACCAAATACTGCTGTAGTATAATATATGACTCACTTTTAAGATAACCCTTTTGTGATGCAAATCTAATATTTCCTTGATACTCTCTTTTGGTATTCAGGAGGCCTATGTTGCATTCAACATGATGACTGAAATCGGTAGCTTGCCAACGATAGAGACCTACAATTCTCTTGCAAATGTGTTTGCCAAGGGCGGGCTCTTCCGGGAGGCTGAGTCCGTCTTTTCTCGGATGACCAACAGTGCTGGCATTCAGAAAAGCAAAGATTCATATGATGCCCTCATCGAAGCGTACTGCCAGGGTTCACAGTTGGATGACGCAGTGAAGGCATACATGGAGATGCGCAAGTCTAGGTTTAACCCTGATGAACGCTCCCTTGAGGGGGTACTCAATGCCTACTGCATAGCAGGTGTTATAGATGAGAGCAAAGAGCAGTTTGAAGAGATCAGATCCAACATGACTGTGCCTAGCATTATTGCTTATTGCATGATGTTGTCACTATATGCAAGGAACGACAGGTATTGGTCAAACAGAACTATTCGCCTTTACAATCTGTCAAACTTCTGTGCTCCTGAACATTGCTGACTGTTCAAATGCAAACATTGAAACGAAATCTGTGTCAATCATGCTTTACTATTTCTGTTAAAAGATGTACAAACTTTGGATCTTCAGTTAGATAAATCACAAAGCTGGCCATCAACTTACTGCCTCTAAACAAGCAGACTAGCTCACTGAGCAATAGGACAAGAGATTTACAAACTCTGGACCTTCAGTTAGAGACCGGTCATCTTTTTATTTTATTTTAAGATTGCTAATCAAAGTTTGAACTAGCAAGGGAACATAAATCCAAACAACCATATGTTGCTCGTCTGTTCTTTCAGTTAATATGATATGGCATATGCATGTCATTCTGTACTATGGTATTTGTTGCTTGGAGTTTTTACATTCTTACTTGCATTTTCAGAAATTGTATTGTTCTTTAAAGTATTGGTTTAACTTCTAGAAACCACATGTTTTAATTATGGTCTTTGATGGGTTTGACTCCAGAGTTATTATGTGATCATGCCCTTGCGTTTCCATAATGATTTGGGCTGGGATTTCTTCCCTGTTTCCTTGTGTGTGCTATTTCTGGTATTTATCATGCTTAAATCGTTTGGGTCTACTGACCTAGGTATGACCTGCATAATACTGGCAACATTGACATAATACATAGCCAGAAGTAAAATGATTTGGTGCATGCATACTTGTGTTTGTTGCAGCTTAAATCGACATAATATATAGCCAGAAGTGACCTGCGATTTATCTTTTCTTTAGTTTTTTTTCAGCTTACAGTTTTTCTTAAAATGCTTCTAATGTGATATTACTGCACTGTAATCGATTTATGTTTACAGGTGGGCTGATGCTTATGATCTGCTGGAAGAAATGAAAGCAAATCGTGCTAGTAATACACATCAAGTCATTGCTTCCATGATAAAAGGGGAGTACGATAATAGCTCCAATTGGCAAATGGTTGAATACGTCCTTGACAGCAGTAACTTGGAAGGATGTGACTACAGCTTACGATTTTTTAATTCTCTCCTTGACGTGCTTTGGTGGTTCGGCCAAAAGGCTCGGGCTGCAAGGGTTCTAGATCATGCAGTAAGTTATGGGCTCTTCCCTGAATTATCCCGTGACACCAAGCTGGTCTGGTCTCTAGATGTACATAGGTAATGTAATTTTCTAATTGCAGCCTTTTCATTTACTGGTTCAGTTTTATATTTGTCAGCAGTCTTTACTAGGTTTGTTTACATTTCAGGATGTCCGTTGGTGGGGCATTAGTGGCTGTGTCAGTATGGCTCAATAAACTTTACACCAGACTAAAAAGAGAGAAAGACCTTCCCCAACTGGCCTCTGTTGTTGTATTGTAAGCTTTCTGGCTAAGTCAATGTTCCTTTCCTATTGTCGTGTTCTGTTTCTATATTATGGTATCTTTATTTATTCTCTAATTTCTCTGGAATTGGTTTATTGATCGATGTGCTCGCAAAAAGGAAGTTGATCATAAGCTGCTGTGACCATGCTTTCTATTAGCAGTCCAGTGTTAGTTCTACTTGAATGTAGGGCTGCAGCCAAAAAAAAAAGAACTGTAAACATATTCCACAGAATAGAAGCACTCCCAGAAGAAAATGTTCGCAAAAAAATAGAAGTTGATTTTAAGCTGCTTCAATAGATTATACTATATCATTTCCGCAGAGCAAAGTCCCTTTGTAGGAATCATTCGACATCCTTATAGATAATTATCCCATGATTAAATTTTCACAGAAATAATTAACCTTTTTTTGGAATGTTGAAATAATTAACCTTTTGTAACAATACTTTTCTCTTGTTCTACTTTGGTCTGACAGCGTTTTGACTTCCAGGAGGGGGGAAATGGAGAAAAGCACCGTCACAAGAGGACTGCCGATCTCAAAAGTCGTGTACTCCTTTCTCAACGACACGCTGTCGGCATCGTTCCATTACCCAAAATGGAACAAGGGGCGAGTCATATGCCTGAAGTCCCAGCTGAAAAAGCTGCAGGCGGCCATAGATTCCTCGAACGGCGCGGCCGTCCCCGGCTTCGTCCACATGACGGACTCCCGCCTGCCGTCCCCTGGCTCGAAGGTGTACACCCGGGAGCCCCAGGTGGAGAACGGCTCGGCCCATGCCCATTCCACTGCTGAATCGTTGGTAGAAGAAGAAGAAAAGGAGTCGGAACTCCTCGCGCTGTGAGCTCCCAGGGTTGCAGATACGGTACTATCTGGTTTTGAGCCAAGGGGAAGACGAGGCGCAGAATAGCAGTTTTGGGGTTTGGGCATCCAGTCTGTTCAGATCTTCACGCCGCGCGACAAGAACTGACCATACCACGCTTTTGCAGCGGCTTCCTTGCTTCGGTGATACCCGGTGGGTGCTGCTGCTGCTGCTGCTGAGAATTTTGCGCATCTTGCCCAGAACAGCTCTACTTGCAAGAGCTCCTGCCACCTTGGACAGTGCAGGAATTCAGGTTCATCTCAGGATTTTAGCGCTCTGTAGGTAGGACCAGATTACGCACGTTTGTTGCTAGCAATAGTTGGCTCATTTCCTCTATAGACGCTAGGAGTCATGTAGAACTGCATGATAACTGTTGTATGTAAGCTGCTGGAGTGCTGGTGTTTAAGAGTTTAAACATCTTGTAATACACGTTTATTTAGACAATTTTGGTAAATCTTTTTGTTTTTTTTTCTTTGCAATGCACCTAGCTCAGATTCTTGTATTCTACTCCCTCCGTTCCGAATTACTTGTCGCACGTATGGATGTATCTAGATGTATTTTAGTTCTAGATACATCCATTTCAGCGACGAGTAATTTAGAACGGAGGGAGTATTAGTGTATTACATGTGCATGAAGTGAGAATGATGGAGTATTTACTACATGTCATGTCACATATGTGAGTTTAAAATGATGAATCCCCTAAAAAGGTAAAAAAAGAAGTTAAAGAGGTTGAAGATATAGGTCTTTTTAGGGGCAATGAAGGTTAGGGGAGCGTGTGTCATTGCCATGTTTTTTGTTTTGAGAAAATGTGTGTCACTGGCATGTGGGACCATCCTTGCGATTTCCTAGTTTTTTTTTTTGATGATGCGATTTCCTAGTTTTTTTTTAGGGAACGGGAGAGCTTTATTTTTTTGCATATTAATGTTTATAGGGATACAAAACGGGTCCGGAGGCTCTGTGAACCGGACATGTCTACCCCCACGCAGGGAGGCTGCATATTTAGCTAGAGCGTGAGCGTCCCTATTTGACTCTCGTCGTTCGTGGTCGAAACTGACCATCTGAAAGCTATCTTTCCGCCTATCTACTTCTTTCAGGATAGCACCATAAGCTGTCATTCTGTTGCCTGAGTTAATGTTCTTGATGACACTTAAGCAGTCTGATATTATAAGCACTCTAGAAACCTGTAGGTCAGCAGCCAAAGCCATAGCTTCACATATTGATTGTGCTTCGAGGGCTTCAGGATCAGTCATTCCAGCTTGCACCACAGCCAAAGCACCTTGAAAGATGCCTTGGTCGTTGCGGCATACAGCTGCTGCTGCTCCCACTTGCCGATCTTTAGATAATCCACCATCGGCATGTATCTTGGCTACGCCCGTAGCAGGAGGTGTCCAGCAAATTGAAGGAACAAGGATTCTTCCTCCGGCCTTTTTCAACTGACGATTCCTTATTCGTGCATCTACTACGTCAGCCATAAACCTTGTGACAAATGCATGCGTAGACAGTGGAGCTTGAAATTCCTCCTCATGGATCGCCCTTCTTCTTGCCCACCAAACTGCCCACATAATCACCAGCGTCCGTGCAAAAATTTCCGGCTCCAAATTTCTGCTCAGCTCAAAGAGCCATAGCTTAGCATCCGGTGTTTCGTCTATGACGATGGACGAGTACAACTCCTGATCAGAAATAGCCCAGACTGCTCGGGCCATATTACAGTCTAGGAGAGAATGCCTCCAAGTATCAATTGCCGCGCCGCAGAACACACAAGCTGCTGTAGTTGCCATATGGCGATGATGCCTTACCTCGCCTGTAGGTATAGACGAACGTGCAAGTCTCCAGGCAAACATCTTCAGTTTCGGTGGCAATAGCACACCCCAGAGCCTCTTCCAACCTGCTTGCTCTTCTTCTCTATTAGAGGTTTGTGGCGCCTTATCTATCCATGCTTCACGCTTCCGCTTCTTTTCCATAATCATTCTATAAGCAGATCAGACTGAAAACTGTCCATGTTTCTCAAAGTGCCAAGCCCAGAAATCTGGCTGCTGCATATGGCTGATCGGAATGCATCGTGTAGCTTCAACATCCATGGGAAGGAAGTTTGCACGTAATCTATCAAGGTCCCGGCTGCAAGTGGCCTCCACCATTAACTCCGACACAAACTCAGGTGGGTTTCTTGCTTGCATACACACAGGCTGCAGCAAATGATCACGTGGGATCCAGTTATCTTCCATAATCCGTGTGGACGTTCCGTCTCCAATGCGCTTTATAAGTCCCTGAATAAGGATATCTCTTCCATCACATATGCCTCGCCATACCTGTGAGGGTGATCCCCCTAGTTCAGCCGACAAGAATGAGCTTTGAGGAAAGTACTTTGCCTTCAGGATGCGGGCACTAAGCGAGTTAGGATTCTGGAGCACTCGCCACGCCTGCTTAGCAAGTAAACATAGGTTGAAGATCTCCATATCGCGGAATCCTAGGCCTCCCATGTATTTCGGCATTGATATTTCATCCCAGGAAACCCAAGCATTTTTCCTTTCTCCCTTCTTGCTTCCCCACCAAAAATTTCTAATTAGCGAAGTAATATGTTGGCACAATCCTCTTGGGAGCCTGAAACATGACATCGAATATGTCGGTACTGATTGCGCAACGGACTTAATCAGAATTTCTTTGCCTGCAGTAGCAAGGGTTTTCTCAATCCATCCCTGCACGCGCTTCCACACCCTATCTTTCAAATATCCAAAAACACCATTTTTCTGTCTCCCAACATCTGCGGGTAAACCCAAGTATTTCTCATTGAGAGATTCTTTCTCAACTTGGAGTATTTGCTTTATCACCAATCTCCTATCCTCTGGGCACCCTTTTCCAAAATAAATGGAGGACTTAGCCAAATTGACCCTTTGTCCCGATGCATCACAATATCTCCTTACCGAGTTCTGCACCCAATTTGCTCCATCTACCGTGGCCTTCATAAACAGGATACTATCGTCTGCAAAAAGAAGATGATTAACAAGAGGTGCATCCGGTGCCACTTTTATTCCGGCTGAAACTACTTCATCTCGTTTCAGCAAGCATGAGAGCCCCTCTGCAGCTAGTAAGAATGAGTATGGTGATATCGGATCTCCTTGCCTAATCCCCCGTGAGGGTTTAAATTCCTTTGATGCTCCTCCATTAAACAAGATAGAATAGGTTACAGATGTAACACCATTCATCACAAGCTGAACAAAGCGTGGGGCCAAACCAATTTTTCTCATGATGGCATCAAGATACCGCCACTCTACTCGATCATACGCCTTCATCATATCTAGCTTCAGTGCACAATGGGAATTTAACTTGCTCCTTTTTGTTTTCATGAAATGAAGACATTCATAAGCACAGATAATGTTATCCGTGATAAGACGACCAGGGACAAATGCTGACTGTTCCTCGGAGACAATATCCGGCAAAATTTTCTTCAACCTGTTAGCTAGTACCTTGGACACAATTTTGTATATCACATTGCACAAGCTAATCGGTTGATATTGCGAGAGAGATGTTGGGTTTGATACCTTGGGGATAAGAACAATGAACGTCTTGTTGATCTCTATCGGATTATCATCTCCATTTAACATACGCAGCACTATCTTGGTCACTTCTGGACCACAAATATGCCAATTCTTCTGGAAAAAATGGGCGGGAAACCCATCTGGCCCCGGGGCCTTTGTAGGAAACATCTGAAAGAGCGCCTCTTTTATTTCCTTCTCCGTATAAGTAGCAAGCAAAATCTGATTCATATCAGGTGTTACACGACAAGGAACATGTGATAAAACCTCCTCTATCCCTATAGTACCTTCAGACTTGAACAGAGTTTCGTAAAATTCAGTGGCCATTGCTTCTAACTGCACCGGGTCCTCACACATTGACCCATCTGCTCTTTGAAGCTTTTCAATTCTGTTTTTCTTCCTCCGGGAGTTTGCTTTATGCTGAAAGAATTTTGTGTTTCGATCTCCCTCTTGGAGCCACTGAATCCGAGCACGCTGACGCCACATAATTTCTTCGCGGTAGTTTAGTTCAGCTATTCTTTCTTGGAGTTTCAGTTCGGAATGTGAAGGGCCCAGCCTCCCCTCAGCGGATCGAAGTGACTCCAATTCTTTGCGTAGCCTGCGAAGTTCAGCTCGCACCGAACCAAAAGAGCTCTTGCTCCAGGAGCAAAGCGTACTTGCCATTTGCTTGAGCTTTTTCACCAAATCAACAGTATTTGAACATACATTACTTGCCCATGCGCTGTCAACTACAGCCTCAAAACCATCATGTCGTTCCCACATCACTTCATATCGGAACGGCCTATCTAATGCAACTTGCCCATTAGATGCTTCCGGGTCATTCATTAGTAAAATCGGGGAGTGATCAGACCGGGAGGCCACAAGATGTCTAACCTTTGCCATAGGAAATAATGTGCACCAGTCTGTGGAGGCCAAGGCCCTGTCAAGTCTAACACGACAGTACTGTCCTCCTTGAACCTTACGCTCAAATGTCCAATCCAATCCCACAAACCCCAGGTCGGTCAACCCACAGGTATCAACATCCCGGAATGCCTGAATTTGCCCCATATCTCTGTCATTCGGCCCCATCTGTTCTTCCCGACGCAAGACTTCATTGAAGTCACTAATATTAACCCAAGGCATATCCGAGTCAGCTTTAAGGAATCGCATCATGTTCCAGGTAAGATGTCGGAGGCTTCTGTTCGCTTCTCCATACCAGCAGGTAAGCCGCCAAGGATCATTACCCACCTCTTTTACTGTCATGTCTATATGATACTTCGAATAGTTTCTTAACGTCAGATCGACCGAATTTTTCCAATAGATACACAGGCCACCACTGCGGCCTGAACTACCAACTCCAAAAGCGTTATCAAACCCTAGCGTACTTGCCAAACCTTCCACACGGTACTTTGCTATCTGCGTCTCCACAACACAAAGCACTGTCGGCGCACACTCCCGCGTGATGTCGCGCAACTCATGAACTGTCGCGGGGTCGCCTAACCCACGACAGTTCCAGCAGAAGGTATTCATTGAGCCCGGCGGTCCTCCCCATGAGAGGCCGCCAATTTTTCCAAATTACTTGCCTTAGCATTCTTCGCTGGAGACGACCCCAGCCTTCCTTTCTTCCTATCCCTTGGTGGGACATATGTAGGCGGAAGTGGTGGGACAGCAGCAGCAGTTTGAGCATCCACTGCAGCCTCCCTTCTTCGCGCATCAGACCCAAAGCGACATGGATTCCTTCCATGGTCTCGGCCTCTTCCGCTCCTGAACCCTCCTCTTCCTCCCGACAATGGAGGCATGCTTGGCAATGACTTATGCCAAACACCCGAGGAGCCAATATCAAAGCACCACATAGATAAAAACCTCCCATGCGATCTGACACCACCGTCGGCTCCGTCGCCGCCAAAGCCCAAAGGCCGGGCGGACGGACCAGCCGTTCCCTTCTTCAGCCCCAAGGATGGTACTAGGATACCGACGCGGATCATGTGCCGGACAGGTACGAGAAAACTCAACGGCGGCAGCGCCGCCGGAGTACTGAAAACCCTAGTCGCCATGGCGACGAGTAGATTGTCTGAAAATTCGCACTAGTACTTGCCTCCTCTGTTTCTGTGTATGCGATTTCCTAGCTGAAACGAGGCTTTGTTTCACTGGGCTGATCTACAGGGTGGGTTGCGGCCCATAGAGGAGATGGGCTGAACGAAAAAATAAGCCCAACAGGCTGCCTATGTTCCCGGCGCCCCGTCCCCGTCCCTATCCCTGGTTCCCCTCTGCTCCCTCTCCGGCTCCCCCGATCTGAAGTCGCCGCCAGCCGCCAGCCGCCTCCCGCCTGCCTCCGGGGTCCGTGCCTCGCCACCCACTCGCCGTCGCCGCCTCCCCTTGTCTCCGTGCCCCGCCTCCGCCCCCGCCGCGCTCTTCCTCACGCGCTGCTTCCGCGCCCGCGCGCTCCACCGCACCCACCCGCCCGGTCCTGTTCGGCGGTCCGGCGGTGTGCAGGCGTGACCGCGCGTTCCGTGCACCCTGCCCTGCACTACAGCAAGCAGCCAGCCTGCGGCCACCAGCTACCACCCGGCCCTCCCTCCGCCCCACGACTAAACACAGCACACAGGTACGGCTATCTATCAACATTCCCCAATTTTCCCAGTGTCTGATTCAAACCCTACATGTTGATCGATTCATTTTCCGCTGTTCTGTTATGATTCATACCGAAGACTGAGAGGATGTACTGTAATTTTTTTTCTTATACTAGAATTGTTGAAGAACTGGTAGGTATGTACTAATGTAGGCTTCTTTTATGCAAAACTGAGACTTGTATAATTGAGAATTTTAGTGTGTTTGCAAGACCATATTGACCTATATCTACATGCTACTGGTAAATTTATTAGAACGTTCACATGTCATATTTGTTGTCAATTTTGTGTAGGTGGACCACCCTTTTTAAAATTCCTACTTAGATCCAGCTACCGGAGAGCGGAACCGTGCCTGCCCAAGATGGGAATGGAGGAGTCGGCGGGGGGCGCCGCGAGGCAGGCCAAGGAGTCGCTGGAGCTGGCGTTCCAGATGTCCCAGATCCTCGACACCGGCCTCGACCGCCACACCCTCTCGCTGCTCATGGCGCTCTGCGACCGCGGCGCCAACCCGGAGGCCCTCGCCGCCCTCGTCCGCGAGCTCTCCTCCACCGCTCCCCCGGCCCCCGCCACCCCCACCGCGCCCGCCTCCAACGTCGTGGCGGCCCCGACCGCTCCCTCGCTGTTCCCCTCCGGCTTTCGCCAGCTCTAGGCTACTAGGGTTCGTGCCCTCGACCGCTTCTTCTTTTTCCTCCCAGATGACACCGCTTGTCACTTGATCGCCTTGTACGTGTGCACCTAGGCCTTCCATCCTGTATGCTGAAACTGGTTCCTGATTTGTATTCTCAAGATTGATAATGCCAGGGGGTCTGTGTCAAACTCTCTCACACTCTAGCAAATGATTTTCTCTTCTGTTTTCTGAAATCGCTTCCTGGTGTGTATCCCCAATATTGATAATGCAATGGAATCTGTCAAATTCTGTTATCCACATTCTTGCACATGGATTCATTCATTGGAATTATCTATATCGTTATGACACCAATTCAAGATTGCAGAGACGAATTTGAAATACAGTCTACTTATTTGGATCACCTGTATAATTGTGAATTCCATGTTTAAGTGACTCGAAACATGCCCATGAGTAGAATTGTTGTTATGTCAATGTCCCTTGTTCTGAAGGCATCCCAATTAGTAGCTCTTCTTTATCATTCGTTTGGTTGTGGTGTAGGCACACGTGTTTCAATCGCTGCTAGATTCATTATATTCAAGGACTGAGAATTTGAACTTACCCTTCGTTATGTTATTCTTTTCTTTATCACTAATGTTTATACAGTAGTAAAATGATCACCGAGTTAGCTCATTGTCCTTGAACAAAGGTGAAAGCAAATGGAAATACTTTACACAGTTAGCCGGCCTATGCTCCTCACCAATGGTTGTAAGGTTTGGTTGCATCATTATTGTGAGGTTTCAAATACTTTACAAAGTCAACCTATGCCTCTCCCCAATAGTGTATGCGGCTGGCCTGCCCATCGTAGAATTGTGAGTTCGACATTTTAACTACAGGGACCGTGCTCATGAGCAGAGTGGTTGTTGTGTCAATGTTCTTTGTTCTAGACTAGAGGCATCCTAGTTAGTAGCTCTTCTTTGTCATTGGTTTGGTTGAGGTACATGCACGGATGTTCCAACAACTGCTGGATACATCAAATTCAAGGACAGCATTCGAGTTCACCCTTTATCAAGTTATTGTTTTCTTTATCACTCTGGGATTAAAGGTGAAACTGCTTCACAAATCCATCACATGCTTCTCACTGGTGTATTATTCAAGTTTGCTCATCGTATTTTTCGTCTTGTTTCCTGATGTTGGATAAATCTAATAGTCAAGCAGTAGTCCTGTATCCAATGAAGTTGTATTTTCAAGAACAAAAAAATGTACTGGTATACTGCAGCTTACCTGTCTGAAATTTCAATCAATGGGCAGCCACTTAAGTACCACCTGTTTTTTTACAGCATTCTCAATATTACCTTCCAGCTCATATTTCATTGGTTTAATCGATCCAATAATAGTCTCCATGTGCTTGAAATCCAAGAGGACTTAGATTTTACCGGATGCCATCCCATAACCTTTTCTCCAGATTATGTAACCTTGTCATCACTCATTCAGCAGGTACTGAAGGCTGGATGCAACTGACATTCTCGATTCGAAGTCGGACCAAATCCGATACTTGGCTTGCTGGAAGGGCCGGATGAGCTTTGGTCAGGAGGAAACAAATCTTGCTCTGGAATGCACTCACGATGCTGTTTCCACAAGAAAAAGTTGTGGCTCATTGAGTTCCTGTAAATTGGCATCTTTCTTTGCTTGACTTGGACACCACTGTAGTAATCATGATGGCCACTACCTCTTCATCCATGGTCAGTCTTATACTCCCATCGCTGTATGCATCAGCTGGACATCTGGTGTTGTGTCGATTATCCTCTCGTTGACGATGGTGTCGTGCTTATCTGAAAGGAACACGCCATGGCCTGGTGGCCATGAATCGAGCTCCCGTTTTCGGGATAACAGTCAAAAAGCTATGAAAAATGATGACATCTCTTGTTGAGGCTGAGAATCCACGGCACAAATTTTACTCCTGCTCATCTTCAACAGTTGCTGTCGGTTTTCTTCACTCGTCTTCAGGCATTGTATGTGCTGATGACACTAGCGCCGTCTTGGCATGAATATGGAGGGAACTCTTTCTACTGCTGCTTAGTTCATGCAGGGGCACCTGTACCTGCAACGGTGTATTCTATAGTACAATACAAGTGTAAATTAAACACCTCCATATTAAATTACAACCATCCCAAGCGCGGCCTTAACCGAGTGTTAGGCGGGTAAGCCAATGTACAAGCGTTTTGTTGGAGCCACGTCTTCTTAGGCTAGTCATAATGGGAGTAACTTAGCAAGTAACATAGCGCACTCCGAGAAATTTTTGCTTATGTGGCATGTAGTTAATGAGAAGTGGTAACATAATATGTTACTGTAACATAGTGCTTTCCAAGACAAGATGAGTCTACGAGCTAATTTATGAAGTCCTCTATGACACTACTACTATGGGCATGCTTGGATCCAAGGGACTATTTTTAGTCTGACTAAAACTAGTCTCTTTTAGAGGCTAAAGTTCCAATCACCCCTGACTAAAGAGAGGCTAGAACTAGTCTTGAGACTAACAAATTTTAGTCAGGGGAACCCTACTAAAATGTGGATTAGTCCTCTCTCTCCTCATTTAACTCCCCTCCTTTAACATATGTGAGTTCTGGATTGGAGGGTTTGGAGGATAATAAATGCTCATTAACTCGATTTTAGTCTATTTAGTATTTGTATCCAAGCATGGGTGAGACTAGCAAGTTTTAGTCCCACTACTTTTAGTCATGGGACTAAACCGTATCCAAGCACCCTCTATGTTACTTTGCACTATGAATGTAGTAACTTAGGGTATGTTTGGTTCTAGGCCTTGCATTGCCACACTTTACCACACATTTTTGCCAAGTTTGCCTAAGGTTAGTTCATCAAAATGAGAGTCACAAGTTGGCAAGCCTAAGAGAATCTTGCCACATTTTTTGTGTGTATGCCATGTGGGGCCCTAGTGTGGCTTGCCTAAGGTGTGGCTTGAACCAAACACTCACCTAAATTAGTCAAACTTGCCTAACCTTAGGTGTGGCAACCTTTGGCAAAGTTAGTCACAAACCAAACAATCCCTTAGACTAGTGTCATATGCATGACACTAGTATAAATTACTCCACACTATGATCAGCCTTAGTTCCTTACTGCGTCTATCACAGACTCGGTCGCTAGATCGCCTTTTGTCATAAGTGCGGCGACCAATTAAGCCATCACAAATTGTGGCAGGGACGCAAAAGCATTGCCGAATGTAGAATGCAACCAAACATGTTTGCTGTTGTGATATGCGCCTTTTCCCATTTTGCCAAGTACTGTATGTGCTATCCTCAAAAAGTACTGTATCAACTCAAAAAAAAAAGTACTGTGTATGCGCTGGAGAAGTGTATGGGTTGCCTCATGTTTGGCACCGGAATTTGCCAAACAGTGCCCATGTCTCGGTCGGTCGGACGGACGGGACAAGTGGCCGAGCCGGAAGAAACGGATCCGACGCCGAAGATGTGCTTCGGGCCGGCAGGGTAGGGTAGGCCGGGTCGGCCTTTCTGTAGCCTGCCTTTTCCGGCCCTGTGGGCCGAGTCACCCCGCAATTTGAGGCCATTTTCTATGCGACCCCAACCGAACCAGGCCACCGTCGGGTCGCACTGTGTGACGAGCGAACCAGGGGCGGGCGGCGCAGGGTTAGGTTGCGACCGGCGGCGGCGATCGGAGGCGGGGCGTCGGAGATCAGATGTCGCAGAAGCGGCAGCCGGAGGAGGGCGAGCGGCCGCGCTGGGGAGGCTGCGGCGGCGGCGGCCCGGCCGAGTCGGGCGGGAGCTCCTCCCCCGGGGAGCCCAAGCGGCAGCGGGTCCCCGCCCTCCGCGAGTAAGCGTCCATCCCCTTCCCTTTCGCGACCTCGCGCTCTCGATTGGAGTCCCTCGGTTTCGCTGATTGGACTGCCTTCGTTTGGGCAGGGTCATCACGGAGGTGATGCGGAAGAGCAGCATCGAGAAGCTCTTCTCGTCGATCGAGCCCCTCATCCGGAGAGTGGTGAGCCGCCCGTCTCCTGTGCCTCGTTTCCGTGTTTTTCCCCGTCCCAAATCCTCGTTTCCTTCCGCTGTATCACGACAAATTCGCAGGGCGTGTGCTCCGTCTGATCTGCGTCTCCTCTCTTTTCATTTCCTTGGGCCTAGGATTATGACGCGTTTGGCCGCCTGGTATCTGAATTAATATAACTGCCAGGAATCCATTTTCTACATCGCTTATTGAGTCTTGAGTATGCAAGAATCAGAGACTCCGCAGACCCGTAAATTTGGACTGTGGGATTACAACGAACCTTTAGGTATTGATTTAGGAACCGGCGGTTGATATTGAGTAGATCTGAAATCGCACTTTTGAGAACGCTCTTCATGGCAGCCACTATCTGCAGAGTAGTGAGGAGCCTACACAAGCTGTTTCTCCCCCCATTTCCTTCAACCGTGCCACAAAATTTTGTAGGATGTGCTTCTTTTAATCTGCATCTCCTACAATTATGATGTGCTGGGTGACATGGTTTCTGAATTAAACTTAGGTTACTTAAATTGATGCTCAATATTGCTGCTGTCAGGAGTCCATCTTGTATTAGTTCCTGTATTTGCATCAGTTTTGAAGACCAAGGAATTAGGAACTCAGAAATCTTCACCAAGAGATATTGTAGTTAGTTCATCAATTAATTTAAGAGGGGGTTCTTATTTAATAGATGTCAATCATGCCTTTTAGAAGTCACTAATGAATTAGTTTTCCTAGTACTGTATTGTTCTACATTCAGAACCATTCAGACCCTGGAAGACTAAGCAATGATTCATTCGTATGACATTTTGTTATTCATTTTCAGAAGATAATATTTTCAGCCAAAGCTGTTGCTTGCATCATAAAGCTTGACCTAGCCAGTTCTGTTTTCAGCCATGTTTTCGTTTTAAGTTGTTCAGTGGTGGCCTTTATGCTTAATTGAAGTTAATTTTTTAGGTTAAAGAAGAAATTGAGTTGGCCCTCGCAAATCATGCTGCTATGATGACAAGGTATTGTGCATGACACCTTTTGACAAG